TGCTCCACACACTGTGTGCTCCTCGGATTCCCCAATGAGACACAATGCTTGCGTGAGTGCTGCGTGTGCAACCTTCGCGTGTTCCGCCTCAATTGACCGGCTCGCGCGGCGACGATGGTTTCATTCGCGTTCCAAGCCTGACAGTGAAGCACAGAGGCGGACTTTCAGCATTTGTACAGCAATCCTGCTACCGAATATTGTGAAGAGTGCAAGCAATCTTGCCATTCTGCTGCCCATCGCTCTTTGTACAATAGTGCACTCTCCTCCAATCATGTGGCGTTGTTACTATCGAAGGTGAGAAACTCAGCCCAGTCCAGAGTAACTTCACGCCCCTCCCCCGCCCCATGCCCTTCCCTCTGCCCATGCACCTCCCGCACTTTCTCCACCGCCCTCTCCATGAGATGCGCGCGCAGCCTGTCCGGCCTGGGGTTGGCCGCTGGCGTGCCCACCTCATGGGGCTCCACCCCCTGCTGCGCCAGCCACCTCACCGCCTCCCACTGCTGCTGGCTGGCCGCGTTGTGCAGAGGGGTCCCTGGGAGGGGCAGCGGTTGGGAAGAGAGAGGGAGGGGAGCGGGTCATTGAAGCAGATGTGACAAGGGTCGCAAGCGGGGTGCGAAGGGCGATGTGAAGGCAACACAGCAAGACAACCTGGAGAATCATGGAAGGCGGGCGCCATTCAACCATTCTTGCGTGGGATCACTCACAGCCTCAATCATTGACTCAAAGTCCCCCCCACTCACAGCCCCCGGCAGTACGAGCGCAGATTGCAGCGTTTTGTCGAGCCAGGTCGGGCCCTGCTTGCGTTGAGGCATGGTCCAGCAGCAGCTGCATGCACGCCACGTGCCCACCAAACGCCGCCAGGTGCATTGGCGTGCTGGCGTTACGCGTGCTGCACACGCCAGGGGGCATGCCCATGCGCAATAGAGCCTGCAGCTGCAGGGACGCGGGAGGGAGAATGGAGGGAATGAGAACAGTTGCCTCTCATGGCTGATCGTGCCCAACACATCAGCTTGCTCAGGAGGGCATGCAAGCGCACGCATACAGAACGGAGAGCATGAGTGCAGAAGCGTGGGGGAAGGTGGCGGGTGTGTGCGGGAGTGCTGAAATGGGCTGCAGGGGTGAGGGAGGGAGGCACAGCCCACCACGTGTGTGTCGCCTTGGTGAGCAGCGATGTGCATGGCGGTCCACCCCTTCTCGTCCACCACGCCACTCAGCTCTCGCGCCGATGCCACCCCATGCGCTTGCAGCACACGTAGCAAGCGCTGATCCTCATCATCTGCACTCCCACCGCCACCCCCACCGCCACTCCCATCACCGCTCCCATCCGCCCTGCCATCTCCTCCAGTTCTGCCTGACAAGTAGGCCTTCACGTGCGAGTACAGCTGCTTGGCGTGCCGTGGGTGAGAGGCCAGTGCGGAGGGGGGTGTTAGCAGAGAGGTGGAGGCAGCAGGAGGGGCGAGAGAGGGGGAAGCGGCAGAAGCGGAGGAGGCGGGGAGGGCATGGGGGGGGGCTGCAGAGGAGACGAGCACGAGGGACAGCGGCTGCCAGAACCGCGGGGACGGCTGAGAGCCCTCCGCCTCTGACGCTGCGGAGGAGGGCGATGGGGGTGAGTGGGGCTGCTGCACCAATGAAGGTGCTGACTGCGCCTGAGGGCCTGAGGTTGACCCTGCCTGGGGCGCTGCTGACAGGGACTGTGCCTCTGACAGCGATCGCGGCAGGGGTGCTAGTGGCGGTGGTCGGTGCGCCAGCGGCTGGTTGAGCAGCAGGAAGTACCTGCGCGCCCTGAGGGCGGGCAGCTGGAAGGACAGGAGATGGACGGGGTGGTGAATGGTGAAGTAGCGAAGGGGGTGGGAAAACACCATGGGGTGGCAAGCGGCGGCAACCGATCAGATAAAAGGGGGAGAAAGTACGGGTGGAACACATGTCGGCCGCATGGAGGCAGGCGGCACAGAGGTACGAGGTGGGGGGGGGAGGGGGGGGCCAGGCGCAGCAAGCCTCGAGTTACCCCTGGCCCAAGGCATCACCTGCTGTGCGTGCTCCTGGGCGTGCTGCGGCAGCGCCAGCATGGCGCCTTGGGTGCGCTGCCTCTGAGGGACGGGGCATGGCAGGGCACGGACAGGGGACAAGGAGGCCGGGCGGGAGAGGGGGCAAAGGGGGGATAAGGATGGGAGTGGAATGCGAAGTGGAGCTGGGAGTGGATTCGTGTGCGGGGATGACAGGGAGCCCCGTGCTAGGGGTGCGCGCACCTTGTGCTTGCGGTCGACCTGGCTGGACGCCACCTCCAGTTGCGTGCGAATGGGGCCGTGCAACTGTGGCGGCAGCAGCGGCGTGAGAGCGGGCGGCACGGCGGCGGTGGCGGTCACATGCGAGCTGCCCTGTGGGCCACAGAAGCCCCTCCACGGCGTGGAGGAGGCGCGTCGGGGGCTGCTGCTGCTCTCCATCAGGAAGAACTGATCTGCGCCCAGGCAGGGGGGGGAGGCGCGCGGGCGTGGGAGAAAGCAGGGCGCAGAGCATTTATTTGGAAGGGAAGTCCGGGGTGGCATTTGGCAAGAGGAGGGCGGACAGTGAAAGTGTGAGTGAGGGTGCGAGCAGCAGGGCGATAGTAAGCAGCGGGGTGATAGTAAGCAGCGGGGTGATAGTAAGCAGCGGGGCGATAGTAAGCAGCACACGTTCAGCCGACCGCATAGTGAGCTCACCACAAACGGCAGCCCTGCCGCTCCACTTCTCATCCACTGCTGGACCCCTTTGCCCCTTCCCGCCCATCTTCCCCCATTCAACCCGCGACCACTCGTGCTTACTGCGCAGCAGCAGGGACTCATTGGCGCACGGCATGCTGCGCAGCACGCGGAAGCCAAACGCATCGCGCGGCCTGCGCTCGTCCGAGTCGGGCCAGTCGCACAGCGCGTTGGCGACGAGCAGGCACGTGGCGATGGCGTCGTGCTGCTGCGACGCCGTGGCAGCCGTGCGAACGGAGTGCTCGAGGTCGGCGGCGAGTGCGTCCGAGGGTCTCATGAGGCGGACACCAGCGGCTGCGCTCGTGCTGCCACCGGGAATCTCCGCAGGTCGCGTGAGCAGGAGAGGCTGCGCGACGGACGGAGCGGGTGCTTGGAGCGACTCGCGCCTGTCGCCCGCTGCTCGGTGCGGTCCCCCACACTCTGCCTCAGCCGCGGGTGGCTGCAGCTCGCACCTCTCGTTGCTTTCCGCCATTCTCTGCTGCGAGCGAAATTCGCAAGCCTGTCGTCACGGGGATTGGCAAGAGCGTGCGTATAGCGAGGTGCGCTGTGTCTAGCAGTGCGCCAGCGGCGGCAGCGGCGGAAGGAAACAAGCTTGGAGCCTTCGGGAGCCCTCAGACGAGCATGTAAAGCCCGCAGTCCGGATTGTCCAAGAAGGGGGGTTTGTTAAACACTTGAAGCGGTGTCGCGAACCTTTTCCTAGGGTCGCGGAAGTTGACGAACTTTTTTGGGGTTTCGCTATCCAACCAAAACTTTCCCCCCCGCTCAACTCCTTAACTTTTGGACAATCCAGACTGCGGGCTTTAAGACTGACTGTCTAATCTCCAAGTGATTGCGGAACGACGGGGGGCGTGATACGGTGGGGACGATCATGGCTGCTTGCACCCGTTCCCCTCGCTCCCTTGCGATGGCCGCCTCGTCGCTACTGACGCCAGACAGGTGAGTTGAGCGTCAAGCCTCGACTGCGGGCGTCGTCTCGGAGCTGGTTAGCAGTGGGACCACGAAGGAGCCGTGGAGCGCCACGTCTTCTGACGGTAATCGGGGTTCCGACGTTGACGCGACTCATGCAGCGATGGCTATGGCTGGCTACCGCCATGATGATGGGATGGCGAGGGCGGCCTTGCCGCACATGCGCTACAACGATGGTGTGCTTGGTAACTCAATGGCGAGCAGCGATGACTCGCCAAAATGCTTCTCAACAGCTGGTATTCCTTCCTTACTATGCATAATTGCTCACTCTATTTTACACTCTCATGAATACATTCTACTAGCGAGAATATTTGACACACTGCCGCTTCTGCTTGGCGAGGGGACCCCTAACCTAACGTCAGCCAAGTGGTTTGCCACGAAGATATTGTGCTTTCTCCGCCCGGACCTCGCATTCCCGCGTCCGAGTCAGCAGAATTCTCGCCTCCCATGACCTTGCACTTTGTCCAACCAGGCAGGGTTTCCCGCTTTCCTTGTGGCTGCAGTGCGAGCCCTTGCCACGTCACCTGACTGGCCAAGCCTCTGGGGAAATGATAAAAAAGGGACCTCGCTTCGCCAGAATCGTGAGCAAAAAAGGTCCGGCAGCTTTCTGCCCCGAGACCTTGTCTCCGAACCTGTGATACATCGCCTTCGTTATACAACATGTAGATAGTTTTTGTTCGCGAGGTAGCTCAGGTTTGTGGGGCGCGTCGTATCGTGGCCCTATGAGGTGGGACATTTATAAGAACAGTGTTTTAGGGCCCAAAAAAAAAACTAAAACCCGTGGGGCCCTCACATGCGACTCGGGGTGGCACCAACCCTAAAATTGCAAAAGAGCTGCATGTTTAGGGTTGATGCCATCTCGAACGGAATTCGGTCCCCAATGGGTTTATGTTTTTGACTTCTGTTGAGAGACGTTTACTGGCAAGTACTCAAAATAAAACAGAGTGTATTACAGGCTCGGGGGTAGACGGACCTTTTTTGCTCACTCCCCCGGCAGAGCAAGGACCCTTTCTTATCATATTCCAAGCCTCTGCCCCTAACCCGTGCTGCTGAGGTTGCCGCGCCGAGCCGAGGTATTTCTTTCCGTCAAATCATCATGACCGTTAGATGTGTCCAACAGACGGTGATGGTTGCAGTCACCGCAAGGATGTCATGTGATGTGCTGTGCTGAGGCCAAGCGCGGTACAGTAGCAAGGCTGCGAGTCTCGGGCGGTCTGCAGCATTACCAGCGCATGCATCAGGGGTGGTGTGTGGCGTGCCATCAAGCTGTAACAAGAAGTCTATTTTATGGCGGCTTGTATCCATGTGGGTCTTGCTGCAAGCACCCGCTGAATGCTTAGCCTGGATGGCTGAAGATGTCAGCATATGGCCACGCCATGCTCCTTACTATCACTCTCGCCTGTATTCCCTTAGCCATTCGAGCAAGCATCCGATAGCATTCTGCAGGGTTGCTCACTCGTTCGGTCATAATTCAGATAATAGTCGATTGGTATTAGTCGATTCATAAAGAGCCCTCATTGGCATCGCGATTAGGAGCTATCGATGGATCTTATCGAGCCCGCCTTGCACTCCCAGCCGGCGCAAAGCGCATGCATGCATGCGGTCAGTCCCAGGGACCAAGTGCCGTCGCAGTCGCCCGAGTCCGTTGCCAGGGATCGTCGCCTCCAGAAGCATCGCCGCCAGGTCTTGGGGTCGCGCCACGGCACGCCTGCGCCCATCCGGCCGTCCGTGCTCGAGTCGCGAGCCTCTGGCCCTCCCGTGCTCACGGATGACCCCGCTTTAGTCACGCTCGCGACAGAAGGCTGCGAAGCAGGCACTGCGTCGAATTCTTGGGACGGCTTTTCGTTCCCCGCCACGCCCAGCACCTGCGACTCGCATGGCTCCTCAGGGATCTCCCCGAGAGACGGACCCTCCTCGCCCGCCTTTTCGCCAAGGTTTTTCTCGCCTAGGGGAAGGATTTCGCCTCCAGTCTCATCGCCAAGGTTTTCGCCTAGAATCCCATCGCCTCGGTTACCATCTGGCGTGGCCGCGCAGGGGGCAGCTGCCGGCCACTCACTGTTGAGCGGGCGCGCAATGGAGAGCCAGCGGCACGCGATTCTCGGGTGTCGGCGCGGCACCATGCCGCCGCCCTGCCTGCAGTGCGACGGCGCCGTCCCTGAACCAGGAGCCGGTGCTGCTTCCGCAACTCGCGGCCACGCTCCAACTGTCAGCGAGTCTCAAGATTCGCCACTTCTCGCCGCGCCGTGTGGTTCGCGCGCGCAGCGGACGGCCGTCCAAGGTACTGGTGGTGCGGGTGGGATCGGGCCGAGTGATCCACGCGCCAGTCAGCCTCACAGCCATGGCGCGCAGCTGCGCCCTGCCGCCGCATCACCTGGAGACTCCAACTCCCAGGCTTTCCGGCGTCCACGGCCCCCGCTCCTCATCCTCCCCGCGGACTGCGCCGCCGACACCTGCAGTGGCGCTGCAACCAGCCACGCCACGCTCGGCTCGCCGAGCGTACTGGTGCGGGCGGCGGGGAGGGCGGGGCGGGCCGTGTACCCCAGGTCCATCAGTACGCCCTCCACCGCCGCTGCCACGTCCCCCGCCGCGTCCGCTGGGTCCACAGCGCCCTCCCCGCACGACTCTGCGTCGTCTCCACCTGCTGCTGCTTCCACCCCGTCTGCCTTTCCGCTCGCTTCCCCCTCTCCTCGCGCCCCCGCCTGCGTTGCGTCCCCGCGGCTACTGCAACCGATATTTCCGCGCGCTTCCCCTTCCCCGCCTTCCTCTGCCTCCGCATCCCCGCGCCTGCTCCAGGCGACCTTCCCGCGCGCAACCAGCTCGCGCCTATCGCCCCGCCCCTGCGTCCCTGACTGCGCTGGCCGAATCTCCTCCCGCGAGCAGGCCGACCTTTCCCGCGCGTCCAGTTTCCACCACCAGTCCCACCGCCGCGAGAGTGATGCGCCAATCGCGCAAGAGGCGGCGGACCTTCCCCGCGCGTCGAGCTTCCACCGGCCCCCCTCGCAACTGCAGCCCAAACTCCTCCCCTCCGCCGCCCAGCATTCCCGTTCTCTCCGCCCTCTCCTTCCCCTCGCCCTCCCCCACTCCCCGACCTATCCCGCGCCTCGTAGCTGCCCGCCCGCGCGGCTGCTTGGGGAGCAGCAGCTGCGGCCGTGGGGGCGGGGAGAGGGCGGGCAGGAAAAGAGGCAGGAGCAGTGGGGGGACAGGCGAGAGAGGTCGATGCAGGAGGCAAGCGGGGGGAGGGGGGAGGAGGATGAGAGGGGGTCACAGGGAGTGGAGAGGGAGGAGGTTGGGTTGGAGGAGAGGAGGGGTGCAGGGGAGGAGGGGTGGCTGCCGGGACACCCGAGCTCGGGAAGCAGGCAGCAGCAGCGGCGAGCATCCATCAGCTTAGGGGGCCAAGTAGATGCTGCCACGTGGCAGCATGTCCATCCTGGGATGCCTGTAGAAGAATCAGACGTGTCCATGTGGCGCCTGGTAGCTCATCTCCTGGCTCCGCCGAGCCCCCCAGCGCTCAGCCAGGCGTCGCAGAGCCCAACGATGAACCGCTGCGCCATTCATCGCTGCGATCCCGGGGCAGCAGCGGCATGTGCTCAAGGGCAGCAGCTGCCAGGCGACGCCATGAGAGGCGCAGCACGCACCGTGGCAGCAGTAGAGCATAGTAGCCGCACGGATGAGCGTGAGCTCGTACAGGGTCACACTCAGAGCAGTCACACCCAGAACAGTCACACCCAGAACAGTCACACCCAGAACAGTCACACTAAGAACAGTCACACCCAGAACAGTCACATCCTGTCTCGCTCACCCAGGTTTGGCTGTGCATCCGCAGCAAGCAGTGTGATGCCTCCACGAGTCACATCCAGCCCCGCTGCTGCTCCTGCTCACGCCATTGTACAGCCGTGGCAGCAGCAGTCGCACCAGCAGCAGCAGCAACAGAAGCCGCAGCAACAACACCATCACCAGCGGCAGCCACAGCACCAGCAGCAGCAGCAGCAGCAGCAGCAACAACAACAAGACCATGAGCAGCAGCAGCGGCAGGAAGCGAAGGAGGTGGAAGCGGAGGTACCAAGTCTCGTCATTGAAGGGCACACGTCATTCAGGCTGCCCTCCCCACATTGCTCTGCGTCCCCCACGCTACCCCACTCTCCTCTCTCCCCCACCCCCTGCCATTCTCATTCCCTCACCACGTCTGACCTCCATCACCCCCCGCTCAGTAGCCCAGCTGCAAGCGCCTCTGGCGTTGCAGCGCAGAGCGCAGCGCAAGTGCTCACCAGCTCGGCTGCAGCAGGCACCATCCCTGGGACTGTCTGTGGCCGCACGGCTCTCGCCACGCCTGACATCCGAACCTCCCCAGGGACTCTCACAGCCGCCCACGGCCCCTTGACAGCCTGCGGGTGCTCAACAGCCCCCGCCCACGGTCCCACGCACATAGTTCCCAAGGCCCCTTAAGCTGCTCCTAGCAGCGGAATTTCTACCCAGAAGTGCAAAGGCTGTGGAGGGCAGTGTGCAGCATCAGGTGGGCATAGGGCCTGAGGGAAGTAGCAGAGCAGGGTGAAGCTGGCGGCTGGGCGGCACAGCATGGAGGTGCTGGCGTTCCCTTCCCATGACAGTGCCTGCTCCCTGCACCATTGTACATATTCCATCCATGCCCAGCGATGCGCTTCATGCGTGGAAGCTTGGGCCTCCTCTCCTCGCGAACATTGCGTCTCCGTGCTTGTGCCATTCTCAACTCGAAGGGCAATTACTTACATTACAACCCCCCATCCCCTCCCCCCCCCCCCCCCCCTCCCCTGCCCTCCGTAAGCACACAAGGCTGCATGTCTGGAGCTGATTCCATGGTATTTCATGTCAAATTGTGTAGTTATATATGTTTAATTATCTCCTCTTTCCTAGTCAACCCCTTTTCTCTCGTAACTTTCTCCTAGCACCAGGCCCCCAAATCGCCGACTTTTTACTCTGATTCAGACTTTTTTCAGAACTTTTTTGGGGGTGTACTCTGATTAGGAAGACTTTTTTTGGTACCTTACTCTGATTTTTCAGAGAAGATTTATGTACTTACGTTGTTCTTTCAGACTTTTTTCACTAGTCTACTCTGATGCCTCAACTCTGTATGGGGGATTGACTCTGATTTGTGTAATACTGTGATTGGAGGTGGGGACTCGGGAGGGCGTGATTTACCTATGGGGGATGCTGATTGGCCCTTAGCAAAAATCAGGGTGGATTGCTTGCTCAGGGCTGTTTGAGGGCGGTTACTGACCCTTCACCAAAATCAAAGGCCGATGTGTAATTGGGGCCAGGGCCCAAATTAGCCGGGTGAAATGCCCTGATTGCCCTGATTTTTCAGGCAATTTTTTCATTTGGTCTTAAAAATCAGACTTACCGGTACGAAATTTATTACCCTGTGTCAAACATATATATAGTTTACCGTATTCCCCCGGATATACGCCCCTAGGTGCTTATAGGGATTATAGTCATAATTTTGGGGGTGCGTTTAATTGGATTTTTTTTATATGGCACGGTGCGTTAAAAACGTTCTTAAGGAAAATTTTGAAACGAACATGAACATGTAGCTAGAACAAATTGCAATCGAATGGAATGCTCCCAAACGGGAACAACCAGAGAAGTCCCGCCAAAATCGCTTCCCAGACGATTGACGCGTCAGCCAAGCAGCACGTTCGCTGCAGTTTGCCAGCGTGCAGGCTAGCGTGGGCGATCCTGGCCATCCGTTCTCTCATCTGACACGGCAGCAGAGCTTTGCCGACCACACCTTCGATGAGTCGGAAGGCCAGGGGTCGATTTTGTGTGATGAAGTGATTCGTCACGTAAACTTGATGCCAAATGTACAGTCAACATAGTCAGTGCGAGATTCCCACGGGGAAAAGGGGGGTGCGTATAGGGATTAGAATCTGGAAAATGGGGGGGTGCGTATCATTGGCACATCCGATATGGCACCCTTCCGGATATACGCACCATGGTGCGTTTTAGCTGGCGGTGCGTATATCCGGGGGAATACGGTAAGTTTGTATAGAATGTATAGGTTCGTATGTTAGAGGGTACAACACTTAGGCTTATACCCCTTCTCCTGTTTTCTCTCGATATTCAATCCTACATTAAGATGGTATCACGCTTGGTAGGTAGGTCTCGCCGCCCACGCTTCCGTCCTAGGCCCTCGTCGCGCCGCCCCTAGCCCGTCGCGATTGTTCCTAGCCGGCCCCCTGCGCCGTTCGCGCCCGTCCTAGCCCCCCCCCCTGAGCTGTCGCGCCCGTCCTAGCCGCCCCCCCCTGAGCCGTTCGCGCCCGTCCTAGCCGGCCCCCTGAGCCGTCGCGCCTGTTCCTAGCCGGCCCCCTGCGCTGTTCGCGCCCGTCCTAGCCGGCCCCTTGAGCCGTCGCGCTCGTCCTAGCCGGCCCCCTGAGCCGTCGCGCCCGTCCTAATCGGCCCCCTGAGTCGTTCGCGCCCGTCCTAGCCGGCCCCCTGAGCCGTCGCGCCCGTCCTAGCCGGCCCCCTGAGCCGTTCGCGCCCGTCCTAGCCGGCCCCCTGAGCCGTTCGCGCCCGTCCTAGCCGGCCCCCTGAGTCGTCGCGCCCGTCCTAACCGGCCCCCTGAGCCGTCGCGCCTGTTCCTAGCCGCCCCCCTGCGCCGTTCGCGCCCGTCCTAGCCGGCCCCTTGGGCCGTCGCGCCCGTCCTAGCCGCCCCCTTGAGCCGTCGCGCCCGTCCTAGCCGGCCCCCTGAGTTGTTCGCGCCCGTCCTAGCCGGCCCCCTGAGCCGTTCGCGCCCGTCCTAGCCGGCCCCCTGAGCCGTCGCGTCCGTCCTAGCCGTCCCCCCCCTGAGTCGTCGCGCCTGTTCCTAGCCGCCCCCCCTGCGCCATTCGCGCCCGTCTTAGCCGGCCTCCAGAGCCGCTGTGGCCGTCCTAGCCGGCTCCCAGCGCCGGCGCGCCCGTCCCAGCCGTCGCGCCCGTCCCAATTGTCGCGCCCGTCCCTAGCCGGCCCCTAGCGCCTCCGTCGCGCTCGCCCCGTACCGGCCCCTTGCGCCCGCCCCTTGTCGGCTCCGCGCCCTCTCCTAGCCGGCCCCTTCACGCCCGCTCCGCGCCGGCCCCGCGTTCGTTTTGTCGCCGCCCACCTTCGACTCATGCCCGGCTCGTCCTTCCCGCTCTACACTGCACAGCACCGCACTACACTACGCTGTACCGCTCTGCACCGTACAGCTCTGCGCCGCTGCTGCATCGCTCCTGATGGCGGACTCCGTGCTCCGCTTCGACGCAGAGGGACAGCCGATCGAGTTTGACACGTGGCTGGTTGACCTCCGGCGTCACCTCACTGGTCAGCAGCAGGACGGCCACTCCCTGGCGGTCCACCTTGACGGTACGCTCCCTTGCCCTAAACCCCCGGCTCCCCTACCCGCTGACCCCTCGTCCGCTGACCGTGAGTCCGCTGCAGCTGCTGCCCTTGCTCGCTCAGTTTGGTTGTCGCGTGACGCTGTCGCGCAGCTTGCGATCTGTCATGCCTTCCCTCTGTCTGAGCACCCACACTTTAGGTCAGTCACGACTGCGCAGGAGTTTCTAGAGGCCGTCGTCAAGCGCTATTCCACCCCGCCTACTGCCTCTGTAGGTCGCTTGATCCTGCCGATGCTCTTCCGTGACCTTGTGTCCTTCCCTACTGTCGCTGATCTAGCCACTCACCTGCGCATGATAGACGCGACCTGGCGTGCTGCCTGCACTGAGACCCAACTTAGAGCCTTTCAGCCGCCCCTCTGCTCTGCCCTCTACCTGCTTGCCACCCGCCTCCCTGATCGTGTTGCTACTGCCCGCGACCACTTCCTCAGCACCCACCCTGGTGACCTCACCCTCACTGACTTTGTCGACACCCTGACTGCCATAGAGACCTGTCAGCGCTCTATCGCCCAGACCAGCGGTACTGTGCCGGTCCCTATCTTTCAGGGTTGTGCCCCCCCTCAGGGCACCTTCTTCGACGGTTCTGTCGCTGTGGCTGAGTCCGCAGTTGCAGCGCAGATCCGTTCCGGGAAGGGCCGCCGCCCCAAGGCTGGGCGCGGCGGTGGGGGTGGAGGTGCATGTGGAGGTGGTGGTGGAGTCGGGTCGCCTAGTGGTAGCACTGACGAGGGGACCCTG